TGCTCTCGATATCATAATTAACTTACTCTTTTATCTAGGTCCACAGTACCCCAACTAAGGTCACCTCTCTCCTTTACTCCTAACCTCATACCCTTAATTAAGGACACCACACAACTACACCTCACAGAAAATACCAAAGCAACTGAATAATTTAAATGGGGTGTTACACACTACGCCACGTAAGTCCTGGTAGTTACTTGGGTTGGGCCTGGCAGGTTTGTCCAATGCAAGTAACCGTTGGCCCTGCGCTGGGATCTCTCTATAAATATCCTTTTTCACTATAGGGTCAGGTATTCTATTCTTTACACCTACTTCTCTGTATTTGCTCTCCCACTCTAATCCTTTACTCACTTAAGCATCAGAGTGCCTTGCAGGTACACCCCCTCCTTCTCCCTACCTCCGGTGGAAGCTACAATTCAACGACGTGTGGCAGACCATTGATCCTTTCTGATCGAGCGAGATCAACCATTAATTCAAAATTTAGTGGGTGTTACGGAGGTGCAACTTCGGATGCTTTTTATACATTAACCTGCGCCAAAGCCTTCTCTCTTCCTCCTTTTTTTAATACTTAGTCAAAAAAAACTCTATTTGAGCTCCTTTGCTGCAAATCATTTCCAAACCTCATTTGAGCAAGTTTCATCAAGTTTACTTACTTCATTCTATTTCTTTTGCAGAGTTACTCACTCCATTCAAGCTCTCATATGCAATTCTAATTTGATAAGTTTCTCATTTCAATCTTTATTGTGCTTTAAATGATTTTTAGGTAACATAGGTTGTTTAACTTGCATTAGATACTAGTAAAATAAAAATAAGTATCTAATAGAGATACGTAATACCATTTAGTTAGAGGTTAAAGCAGCAATGGTGTTTCTACCATTGTTGAAAATTGCAAGCTCATCCGGAGATGCATCTCCGATTTTTCTCTCTGTTTTTTTTAGAGATGTATCTTTGGGTTTGGGTTTGGCTGCATTTTGGTTGAATTATTGATGTTGTGTTCTGGTTTTATTACAGGTGTAATGATTGAACACAACCCGAACAAAATTAAGCTTGGTCGTGTGTTCCAACACGCATATGTGCGATATAAGAGGGTTAGGGACAAGGCCACGAGTCAAAGATATCTTGTTTGATGGTTCACAAGGTTGAGGTTCAAACCTATTTGGTTCTACTTTCCGTAATCTCCTATCTCAGGCATGTACTTCACGGGGCCATGAGTCCCTTACTTCTGAAGCCCTTGAAGCTCAAAAGGAACCTGTTTTTGATGCCTCTGTAGATAGATATCCAGGTGGCCTATTTGACACCTTCTTACTTCATCTATATGGAGACCATTCTGTTGGGAATGTCTGGGAAGAAGATGTATAATTATTTACCTTTGCATTGCATTTTTCTTAAACTAATTTAACTGCAACTAATGGTTATTTTGTTTTTTTTAACAGGAGTGTCAATGTTTAAATTCCGTAAATCATAAAAGGAAGATATTAGATTTGGAACATCCTGACGCTGGCTAGCTCAAGAATGTTATCCTCTACTTTGGTCTTGCTAGTTTATATGTTGTTATGTACACTACCATAAATCATGGCATACAGGTGGCATTTGCAGAGAGATGATATTCACATACGTCATTTTTTCACCTTCCTATTGGAGATATGATCATCACCATGGATGAAGTCTCATGCCTCATGCATCATCCCATCAGGGAAAACATATTGGACCACAGAAGGCTCGGTCAAGAGGAAGCCAGCGAGATGCTGGTTACATATTTGGGGGCTAACCTGACTAAAGTTACAAATGAGGTACCTGACACCATAGATGCTCATGCTAAATTTGAATTTTTGAAATAACTTTATAAAGACCACCTACAAATGATGCTTGATGATGAAGATGATGATATATTGGTTGATTACCATCGACAGTGTGCATTAAGGTGTTACCTCATGTTCCTGGTTGGCACGTCCATATTTGTTGGCAAAAGTGCAACCTACGATGATGTGGTATATCTTAGATACTTCATTAACTTGATGGTAATTCACGAGTACACGTGAGGGGCGTCTGGTCTACCTGTACGCAAAGCTCGGCGATGGTTATCTTTGAAAGACAAAGCAGATAACCAAAAGCTACACACTGCTTACAGTAGTTTATTGTTACAAATTTTTTCATAACTCTTTTGTTACACTTGTTATTAATATTTTATCTGGATCATTTTCAAGGACGGATCATCTCCCACTTTCCTCGCATCTTCGGGTGAAAATTTGTGTTTGACTACATTGAGGATTGGCCACATGTTGGCGTCTTTGTCCCACTCAGTGGAAATGATGATATCGAGTCATTTATGGTATATCTTGATTGTCATATAACAAATGACATTGCTTTTTGTACACAACGGTGTTACCTTGGATTTTTTTACTCAAGTATAAATGGCAAGTAAAGAATAATAAATGTGCCAAGAGTTGAAATTCAGTGGAATCAAATGGAAACCAAGGGTTGAATGAATGTCAAAAATTATACATGGTGACGTTAGTCGAGTAGTTGGAAGTGTAAGAACAATGTTAAAATCTGGGACTTAGTGGAATTTTTTAGTATGTTGGTTTATTGTCGCTTGGGTGAGTACTATGTTATGTTGATTAAGGTTGGAGTTCATCATTATAATAGAAACAATGTCGATTGGGCACTACATGTGGAAAACACTACAGAGTGTGTTGTTTCAACGTTATCGATCCTAATGATTTTGACATAGTTGGGTTAAGGATTTTGACACAGTTGGGTTAATTCCTAATAATCAGTAAAAGTAGTTAAGATATTTGAATGGTATGGAAAGAGCGGGAGTTGAATTGACACGAACGGTTACTTAAAAACACATGGAGACTCGTCGAAGAAAACAGTTGCATGGGATTGAAATGTGTCGTGATAGGGTTAGTCAAACGTTCTTAGGTAGTTATTTTAGAGTATTATATAAAGGGGATCATGTTCATATTGTAAAGGGTCCGCAATTGTATTCATATTTCTGTAAACTCAAAGTATCTGCGTATTTGATAAACGAGTGAAGAAAATGTACATATGTGTTCCACCATTTATAAATTTCAGGCAATTTTACATTCAAACATTTCTGCATTAAGTTACATTTCGATTTCGCATTATAATTCTTGTTATTTTATGTCGTCTTGCATTTCTTTTCCATTCACTTTCATTTTTAAAACCTTGTGTTCCAATTCCTACTCACAAGTAGATCGTTACTTTTTCAAATATCATATTTCGATTTCAACAGTAAGATGTTGTTCAAAGTTTTAAATGCATGCAAATATGTTCCGAGAGATTTTCGAGTTTGATCCTTTAATGATATGGACACCTCCAAACGCGTCAACTATACCTCATTTCTTTATACTCTGGATGACTGACATGTAGGTCAGATCTGATGTATATGTATCTTCCTGAACAAATAATGCGGTAGTTTAGGTATTTGCAGATTATTTTAAGACACCCCTTAGAGTTCGCTTCTCCCACTATCCATCGTAGAGTTCTTTTTGTAATACTTGAGGGTTTCGAGAGTCATTTGGTATCAGAGGAGTATCGCATGGTACCAGCTCCTGTACAATAGGCTTATGCAATCGGCTACATGACATTGTTCAATAGGGTATCACATACTATCATGACACCCGACGTTTATGGAAGACCACTTATGTCATCTAATTAGGGGGTACTTAAGGATAGGGATGACCACACCCAGGATGTAAGCATCGTTTGTCGACGCCTTGTGAGTATGGTGAGATCGAGAATAAAGGCGAGACTTTTTTAGGAAGGCAATCCCCAACTGACTCTTGTATTGTTTTTTTGTATTTTCGGAACAAGTTATGTATGGTCGATATATTCTTATTTTACTTTAGTTCATGTATGATTTTTACTTTCATTTTACTTTAATATAATTTTATTTTATTTTGATTTTACTTTAATATAATATGGGCTCAAAAGATTACAATGTTGCTGCCTTGAAATTATTCACGGGTGTATCCGAAGATATATCGCCGAAATATCCTCTGGGTGTAATTAAAATGCTCCCAATATCTTTTAAATGACTTCAAGAGATATTTTATAGATATATCTTTTAATACACTCCAAAAAATTTACGGATATGAATCTCCGAATCATATTTTGATAAAAATAGAATATATATATATATAACTGAATTACCAAAATTTTCATAGATGTTGGGTGCCCATAAGAGCATTCCTCTTTTGAAAATTTTTAAAGGTAACAATATAATCAAACATTCAAATATTGATAAACCAATTTGTGGACTCGAGTTGTTCTAATCGGAGGAGACATTCAGTAATCAGTAGGCCATGTGAGTTGATGAAAAGTAGGTAATTTGATTATTTAAAAAAAAATTGATAATGTGAGTGAGTAAAACATCAATAATTGAAAAAGACACTTCAAGTGCTACTCATTTTGTTTTAGAATATTTTTTATGCAAACTCATTGTAACTAGAGCAGCTCCTGTGCTAACTGTCTAGTTCATAGCTTAAACATAAGCAACCTTGCTTCTTTTTTATGTATTGGAGTTTGATTGATTACATGACATGGTTGGTCGCTTGAAATAAAGCTATGTGCTTAAATTAGTTGGGGATTGAACATGGAGAGAAGGTTTTTTAGTATTAAAAAATAATTTTGCATGTTCAATCTTGAAAAAAAGTAGACACATTTGAGTTGCTTTAGGATCAATTATGGGTCCAACTAAAACAAAACTAAGCAACATGGCAAATCTAACAACCAGCTCAGCTCAAAAAGGAGAGAAATGCTTCATAATCATATTTATTTTTTATGGAAGAATCAATTTGACAGAAAGGAAAGCTATATCAGAGCCTGCACATTATATTATTGAATCATTATTATATGTTGAATACAAATAAGTATAATGAATGAACTACCACCTCCCTAAGAACAAAAATTCATCATCCCATGTATGAGAGCAATATAATGATGGCAGCTGCTATGGATGCCCTGTTATACCTCTAAGAACTCCCATAACCATTAGGGCGAGATTTCTGCCATTTCCATGCAACCGCTATGCTCTTTTCAAGGTCAGTGTGTTGCGCCGTCCAATTCAGTTCGAGCCTGATCTTAGTTGGGTCGCTGTACACCTCGGCGTAATCCCCGGGCCGTCGCGGAAGGAAGTCTACTTTGATGTCTACGCCTGTAGCCTTTTTACAAGCACTCACAAACTCTTTAACTGACCTGCCTTTTCCGGTGCCAACATTGTAGATCCCAACTTTACTGGGTGTTGCCTTTTGAAGAGCTTTGACATGAGCGTCAACAAGATCGGTTACATCAATATAATCTCGAATGCAAGTTCCATCGGCTGTTTTATAATCTGTTCCTGTAACCTGCAAGGTGGCAACCAATACAATAAGTGCAGGTTCGTTTTATATCGTGACGTAAAAGTCTAGCGAGAATACAAAAAACTTAAGTAAAAAGGACAATATTAACATACCTTCAAGCCAGGTGTGATACCGCGAGCTGCATCAAAGCATGCACCTGAAATTCGACCATGTTCCCGAAGTTCGGGTCTTGGGGCCTCACCTAATCTCCCTTCAGGGTCTGATCCAATCACATTGAAGTATCTGCGTGTGTCCCATAGAAAGTTGTCAATAATTACGGCCATAACAATTCTAAATAATAATGTTCCAATTAACATTTTGTTTATGTTTAGATCTATTTTCCCAAACCACAAAGAAAAGAAAAACAAAAATCATGATATGTTTGACTTGAACAATGGCTTGCCTCTTGCGAGGTTCCTTTAAATGTAAGATATGTTCAGAATCATTAAACAAAGGGCACATCAAAAAAGGATTGAAAAAACTATATAAAATCCAGAAGAGTTAATGTAAAATACACACCTTAGAATCATTACTGCCATCTTGGAATTTTTAGAAAAATCAAGGATGATATCTTCGGCCATCTTCTTGGCTTTTCCATATGGATTGATCGGTTTCTGAAATTCAAGTATATATTGATTTAACACTACATCTCAATGTTAATGAAAGCCATTGCAAGATGCAACGAAAAACAAAGAGTTATCTACTAAACCCAATAAGTCAAACCAGGCTTGGATTTTCGCACCTGTTCTGTTACTTCTGTAATGGGCATCTTGTCAGGTTCTCCATATGTTGCACATGTACTTGAATATATGAACGTCTTCACATTATATTTAGCCATAGCCTCCAACACCAACAATGTATTTGATGTAATATTGTGATAATACCTGACAAACATGTCATAGAACATAAATCAAGTAGAACTGAAATGGATTAAATTTAATTTTTTTCAGCACACAATTACAACTTTTTCAATTCAAGAAAATCCGAGTTCGGATTTTTTTGCAAAGAACAATCCTTGACCTGACTTTACTTACCTCTAGGTGGAACTCCGGATTACCAGGGGGGCATTCCCTTGGAAACCGGAAGGATAAGACCAGAAAATACAACTTTATCAAATGGAACTAATATTTGGAAATGAAAGCTACTAGTACTCACTTAAGAGGGTAAAGTGTGCTTTCTCCCACGTATGCAACAGCTGCAAAGTGCATCACAGCATCAAACTTATTCTCTGAAAATATTTTATCGACCTAAGAACCAGTCAAGTAGACAATTCTTCTGGGGAACTCACTAATAATTATACTTCAATCGAAGTAAATTGTCAACACTAAATTATTTTATGTAACAAGGATACAGATTTTGCGTCTCCCAAATCAGCATGTATAAACTGAAGCCTTCCAGATTCTGGAAATAAGCTTTGAAGAACCCTGACAGCACCTAAATTTCCACGCGACAAATTATCCTAAAAGAGAGAAAAAAATTTAACATGGTCATTGCACTTACATGAGTTTTTTCGAAAAGTATTATTAAAAGACATACCACAATGGTGACTCGATAAGAATCCGTAAGGAGTCGTAAGGTAGCATGTGAGCCGATATAGCCTGCACCTCCTGTCACTAAAACATGGGTGACCCCAGGTTCATGGATAGAAAACTGTACCAAAAGGAGAAGTAGAATTTCAATCAATAAATTGAATATCTTGATAAAATAACAGTAGATTTACATATAAAGATGATAACATGGAGATCTCGTGGTTGAAAATGCATGGTATTCATTTATGTCGATTTGATGAATTACCGGACTGGGAGAAGTGAAGGACGGAGATTTCTTGATCACCAAAATGCACAATGTAGTTAATGCTGCAACAAGACAAACCTTCCCGATAAAATTCCCCTTCCGTTTTGGATCCACATAATCCATACCTAAAATACAGAAACATAAATAAGAACAATTATATCTTAAACTGTTTATTACGCAATATACTAGCATACAAATATACGAGTGATAAAAAACATGGCATTTCAATTCTCATCATGAAATCGATTAATGTTTTAAGCACCTCGAGATGCATACGAATACTGGTTGGCAGAACAGAATAACTTTACCTCCTAATGACATGGATCTGGCTGCCCTTGGCTGACTTCTGGCCCTAGAAAAATTTAGCATTTGCGAAATCAACACGGTCTTTTAACCCAATATTATCAAATGATCACATCAAGGTCCACTCCCACTTTGAAGAGGATCTTGAGTGATATGCTGCAGCAAATAACAAACCATGTAAGTTTTCTTTCTTTCTTTTTTCTAATGACTCAATGAAGGGTAAAAAGTAAAGTTTTTCTTTCCAAAAGTTATATTGGTGAAGTGTGAGAGAAAAGGCTGGAGTAAACAATGAAAAGTGAAAAACAAAATCCAAAAGTTCAGATACTAATAATGACCATAAAATCTCTACAAAGCAAAACAAAACAATTCACCAAAAAAAACTCAAAAACCACAAAGCTGGTGAGAGAGAAAACGTGTACATTAATGGAAGATCCAAACAACCTAAGAAGAAAAAAATCATAAGAGATGGAAAGCAGATAAAAAAGCTAAGATAACCCTCTGTAAATTTAACAGCAATATCACTGTAAATAACAACAATAACATGCACATAACATGTTTGTCAGAATGCCTCAGACAGAAAAACAGAGAAAAAGACAAACCACAGTAGACCAACTTCACAATCTCATTTCAAATTTTCAAAAACAAAAATTCAGGGAAAGTAATCCATTCCCTATGAGAAAACACCTTGAAAATTTCAAATCAAACCAATATCAGGATCCAATCAGCACAAAACTTCAACTATTGACCAATTCAATTTCATCAAAACAGAAGGGAAAAAAAAAACTCTTTTTTCAGCATTATTTTTTAGACTAATTCAACTTCATCAAAAACAGACAAAAACAAACCCTTCATTGATATCCTCAAATTTTGCTTTGCAGCATCATCAACTAACAATCAATCAAAAACCAAACCTAAAACCAAAACCTTATAAAACCAACTAGCAAGATCAAATACCAACTCATAATACAAAACCCAGAAATTCAACACCACCAAAAAAAAGGTTGAATTAATCATTAAACACCTTTTCACAACTCTCCAAAACGCGATTTTTTTCTGAAAGAAGAGTAAATAAAAAACACTTTTTTTCAAAACAAAATCACGTTACAAAGTTGCCCACAATACGAAACGGAAAAAAAAAATAGAACTTTAACCGTTTGAAGGCAAAAAGAAATAGTTATTTAATTCTTAAAAAAAGTGAAAGAGAAAAGAAATTACCAGAAATTGAGAGAGAGGAGGTGAAGTAGTAGTAGAATTGGAATTGAGAGAGAATGAAGGAGGAAAGTGAGGAGAGAGGGAGAAGAAGGGGTTCTAATAGGTGGAGATTTCTCTTTGAGTACATGTTGTCAAAGCGTTACAGGGTGCAAAAGGGAACACTTTCGTAGACCTGACTTTTTCTTTTTTTATTCTTTTTTTCTTTTTCTTTTTTCTACCACTTTTTAACACAAGATGTTTACAAACACACTCTTACTCTAACATCTCATTTTCTAAAATAAATTAATAATATTAAAAAATAGTTTAAAATATAATAAATACGTAACTTCTTTTTTGGTAATAAAATACATAAAATTAAAAAGTATAACTAATAGTTATGATGATGATTTTCCTTTTTTGAAAAATAGGGACCTTACTCAAAAAATAGAACAGGGTGCCTATTAGCGCGTAAAAGTGGGAAAGGAAATCTTTTGTTTCATTAGGTGTACCATTTTCTTTTATTAGTTAGGTACCATTGCTATTTCCCCTCAATTAGGGTTATCGAGAGAGTAAGACTTTTTAATGGCTAAAAACATTCTTCATTTATGGTCATCTAAGAATGGTACAAAATTATATACATCATAATATATTATAGGGTTAAACATTTATGAGATTTCTTTAAATATGTTAACTTTTAAGTTTAACTTTTTTTAAAAATATTTTCAAACACTGTTCTTATAAAATTTTTCGTTTTTATATGTGGTTAACTGGAGGTTTATATGACATATTATGTAAAAAAAATTTATAACGTGGCATACATGTGAAAATGTGATAAAAAATTATGATATGAAAGTCACGTATCAATTATTTTTGTTTTAAATTTTTTATATTAATATCATAATTAAACCTAAAAATAATAGCTAATTTGTAACTAATTCCTAGTTAATCCCTAACTAATTTAAATACGTCATTTTATTAGTAATAATTTGGAGCTATCCCTAGCTAAATTAAACGCATAATTCTAAGTACACAAATCATTCAAGATATTATTCTAATCATTATTGTCTTGTATATATAAGTTGCTACATCATGGGAGAGTATCCAAATCATTCAAAAATTGAACAAACTATCAACACTTAATACAATTAATAACATCATCAAGTTCAGTCACATAAAATGTACTTGTTAGAAGTAATTAATAAAATGACATATATTGACACTTCTAGAGATTTACTAAATATATGAGTTTTAAAAAAATACACTATATATAAAAGTTATCTTGACCTTACCAAATAATATATATTGTATATTATTACACATTATCATTGAAACAAGTCTAGAAATCAAAGAACATGTTATCAATCTTTGTCAATTAAAAATATACTAAAAAACCTATATACAATTTTACCTTTATTAGTAGAAGTATTATGCTTGAATTTTCACTTCTACATAACCTAAAAAGCATCAAAGTTAGTATTGTTTCAATTTTCTCATAACACGCTTAGAACTTAATAATCACACCAGATTTTTCACTTTATTTATTATGCAACATAGAATGTAAAAAAGAACAGTTTATTACAGTTAGTCAAACAAAAAAAAATTAATACATACTTAGCTTTTATTTTTAGGACTCAAACAAAGACTTGGTATAGAAGTATTAAATTGACTTCTCTGCATTTCTCAACCTTCAGATTGATGAATTATTAAAATAATTTATTTAGATGAGTAAACAATGACAATTGACTCATAACTTTGGAAGTTATTGAATGTTTCTATCTGCATTGCCAACCAACCAAAAACATAAGTATTGTCCATTCATTCATATGTGAGTCTTTGCTCCTTTATTGCAATTACTATTATCCTTATCTTACTCCACTTGAAGCTTGATTCTCCTTTTCCACACTCATGGGGAACTATAATATCATCTGAAGCAACAATTCTTCTATATTTCTTACACTAGTATATATGTTGAGAATTTGTTGTAGTTTCTGAGTCAGAGATACTAGTTTCAGCCATTTGATTCTTCGAAAATTCTCCTCTGATTCTCTTTTTTCAAATGTTGTTATGCTTGATGCACTGTGAATTTAAAGCAAATGAGATATGAGAATAGAAAGGAAAAAAAAAGATTGGCATATCTTTGATATGATAAAATAATTGGCATATTTGAAGTTCAAGACAAACTTCCTTATAAACTCATAGTTCATGTAAAATAAGTTTCTTAGATTATAGTTGCAAACTTGCAATGTGTAAATAGTACGCATGCCCTAATAAATTGCAACTCATGTACAAAAAATGGTTAGGCAATATTTGAGACGCAGGAACTAAACATAATAAATTGTCAAATACAAGAAGATTAAGCTAAAATGGTTAGGCAGTATTTGATGTAAATAGTATTCACAAGCAATAGAAGCCTTGATCAAACTCCTTCCCTACATGCATACTTTTGTACATTCTTTCACTCACAAAGATGACAAATTGACAATTCATGGCCTCTTCTTATTATGCCAAAACTGCGTACTCTCCAACATACATATCTTGGAAGATTAATACACATGCGAGTATAAGTCAAAATTAAAACACCAAATATATTATCAAAATTATTGTTTAGTGTTTGGTCCCTTCACAAGAATCGCAACATTCAACTAGCTGATGACGACAAAAGGGATAAGGTAATTATGTATTTATTCTCCGTTCAAGTTGGAGAAATAATTATATAAATAAACTACGTACTTATACCAACAACCGGAAGACAATTGCAAAATAAGACTTTCAACAGTCATTCCAAGTTTAAATGTTCAAATTCACATTTGGGTTTGCTTGCAATTGCAAAATGAGATGCACAAAAAAGAAAGTAAATTCTTTTATAATTTTAAACTAATCATTAAAAGCAAATAAACGATAAGAAAGAATACTTGTAGCAACAACGGTGGTTATATATCTGACGAAACTGTAAACTTCGGAAGGCTTGGGGCCATGATCAGGTGATAAGCCGTAAACTTTACAACAACCCTTTATCACAATTACAGAGAACAAAATCACAGATTGAAGAATCAGTTCTAGAAAGAAAAATTAAGCATGTGGTTACCTCTCATAAACCTAGAAAGACAAAATCAAAAGAAACTGAGATTTGGAGCGAGATTCAAATTGAGAGGAAATGAGATCGGGAGGAAGATCGAAGTGGTAGCAAAATCCAAATCGAGACGAAAGCAGGATCAGGAAAGAGATCGTGAAATAATGCAAAACCTAGATCATGAGTGAGAGGGTAAACGCAAAGTGTTTCATTTTTAGGGACGTGGCAATTAAAATATACACATTTAAAAAAAATATACATTTGACATGACACGTAGGCCTCCGTTAGTGAAAACTAACGGGAGAGACCACATTTAGGGACGGAAAACTTTGTGAGGATCATTGTTTAAAGGAAACTTTTAAAGGGACTAAACTTGAAAGTTGGCATATTTATAGGGATTAAAAACATATTTAACCCTATATTATAATAAGTTCTAAATATGTTTTTTTTGTGTTAAACATGTTTCTAAGATGCGGGATTCGATAGAGTCGAACTCGAACATATTCGTTAGAGTAGTAGTCGAATATAATTTGTAATAGTTAAATTTTCCTATATTTGACAGAATGTTGAATACAACTTATAGTAGATTAAGGTACATGTATTCTACTGAGAGTCGAATATAGCTAATCGTAGTTGAAGCAGCATGTATTCGACAGGGTTGAATAACAATTTGTTGAAGTTAGTTAGTCAATTTGAGATTACGTGATGTGGGTACAATCTTATTATAAATAGGTAGATACCTTACATTTGTAAATAGCAAAAGAGAAACTCAACATTGATAGAAAGATCAATAAAACTTTCCTCC